CGGGCCTAAATAAGACAAGCAGATAATTAACTACAACTAGAAAACAGTCAAAAGACTTTGGTCAGATGTGTTCATGTTTATGGCCCGAGTGCAGGCCCTTGGTCAGCGTTCCGAACCGTGAAACTGAGGTTCCGTTACCCCCCCCCCCCAAAAAAAAGATCTCACTCCACGCTTTGGGGCCGTGAGATTTTTTATCAGAGTGTTGGTCTAATACCACTATTTGGGCTTACAAAACTAGTAAGCAGGGGGTGGTTTGATCTTTCCTCCACAGTATCGCAGATAGTCCCCGAACAAAGAAACAAACTGTTTCTTTCACTCTATTTTACTTCCCTCAGTCTTCGTTCTTTGTTTACATATCATAAGTATGGGGGAATAAAAATTAAAATGTTAATACCAAGAACAGCAGCGTCATAGTCAGATTTGTTTTTGTTTTTTTATAGTATACGCACGAGATGGGTCAATGATATGAACAAAAACAATGATTTGGTTCAAATTATAAACCAAACTCCAGGGGGCTTGTATATGATGGGCGAGATTTTCTTATAAAGATATAGTTATCGAAAGAATGATACTTTAGTTAAAAGTCACTGGAATTATGAGAAGCACAGAAAAACAAAACAACAATTATACGCACGTGGGTATGCCTGGCTTCGCCATTGCTGTACGTTTACTAAACCCAAACGAGCGAAACTTTGAAGACCAAATAAAATGTGGTGGTGAAAACAAACAAAACACAAATGTTTCGTTAACCTTCAAATGACCGATTCGTTTTTAACCGTTCACTACCATCATGGTCCACCTACTGTGTTATACTGAGTAATGATACGTTTTTGGCCTATTACAACTCTCAGCGTGAAAACATTGGCCAAAAAATTGAGTATTTGTTTGTTTGTTTGTTTGTAATTAAGCACAAAGCTATCCAATGGGCTATCTGTGCTCTGACCACCACGGGTATCGAAACCCGGATTCCAGCGTTGTAACTCCGCAGACATACCGCTGTGCCACTGGGGTTTTTTGTTTGTTTGTTTGTGATTAAGCACAAAGCTATCCAATGGGCTATCTGTGCTCTGCCCACCACGGGTATCGAAACCAGGATTCCAGCGTTGTAACTCCGCAGACATACCGCTGTGCCACTGGGGTTTTTTGTTTGTTTGTTTGTAATTAAGCACAAAGCTATACAATGGGCTATCTGTGCTCTGCCCACCATATGTATTAAGTAGTAGAAGAAATAACCAGAGTAAATGCTCTGCAAACAGAATGATTCTAACATTTTAACCTGTAAAAATCTCAGGACCATCCAGGGGACTTAGTCCCCTGAATCTCAAATAAAAGTACCCCCTAACTAACCGTGTTCAAAATAAACAAAACATTTTTCTAATAATAATACAAAAAAAAAAGAGTTACCTCTCCCTCCAGTATCGAACCATTCAGTTTTATAAATATATCCTCTGATAATCCATCATCGAGAGGGGGATACTTTCCCTTCAAACTAAGATTACTAGGAATGGCTGGATCCTGAAAGTATCGAGAAAGAAAAGTTGATGTACGTTAATCAAACATTAATACTAACTTGTGATCGAAGTAAGCTATCTAACTTCTCACGAGAACTGAACATAGCTAATTAAATAAATCGTTCTTATGTTCTCACATTAATGATTATAATGCAGTGTTTCGTCAGTTCGGCACTGTCGCTGTTGGCGATATTTTCATAGTTACTTGTCCGTAAACCTGTCAATGAAATTAAGGGCAGAGGTTAAAAGAAGATGTACCCCTTGTTGTGAGAACTAAAATGTTATAGTTGGTGAACGTTACAAAATATATCATTTAATTCAAAGCAAGTTTTGAAAGTAGAATTAAAATACTTAATTTTAAACTCCTCGAATGTGTTAAATTCTCATGTTTGTTTGTTTGTAAATAGGCACAAAGCTACACAATGGACTACCTGTGCCCTGCCAACCACGGGTATCGAAACCCGGATTCTAGCGTTGTAAGTCCGCAGACATACCATTGTGCCACTGGGGGGTTTTGTTTGTTTGTAATTAAGCATAAAGCTATAAAATGGGCTACCTGTGCTCTGCCAACCACGGGTATCGAAACCCGGATTCTAGCGTTGTAACTCCGCAGACATACCACTGTGCCACTGGGGGGTTTTGTTTGTTTGTTTGTAATTAAGCACAAAGCTATAAAATGGGCTATCTGTGCTCTGCCAACCACAGGTATTGAAACCCGGATTCTAGCGTTGTAAGTCCGCAGACATACCGCTGTGCCACTGGGAGTTTTGTTTGTTTGTTTGTAATTAAGCACAAAGCTATAAAATGGGCTACCTGTGCTCTGACTGCCACGGGTGTCGAAACCCGGATTCTAGCGTTGTAAGTCCGTAGGACATACCGCTGTGACACTGGGGGGAGGGGCTAAATTCTCATAAATAACTGTTACAAAAGTAATTTCGTTTCGCTTCTTCTCGGTAGATTTTTTTCGGTTTAAGGTCGAGAAACGGATCTTTCTCTTCGCCTCACACACGGTAACAGAGTACGGATATACTTAGAAAATCGTGAAATTTGAGCATCATTGAAAGGATGTTGAATTGACCGGTACGTGATTGCAGAGGTTGAAATATAAGAAAGCCGAAGAAGGTGTGAATACACGCATAAAACGAATTCCTTCTTATAATACTCGAACTCGAAACCAAAGGCCCCCTATCGGATTTACGATCCTTCAAGGAGGCGGGGATCTATAAATCCTATGCCTGTAGAATTTGATGGAGGGGTGAGGGATGGGGGGTACCCCGAGAAAACCCACTTTCACTGCCCAGTGCCCGGTGAAACTAGAATGGAATTATGCTACATGGGGATAATATTGAAAAAAATGAGTGATAGGTGTAAAAGGAATAACAAGATAATAACAGGTAATATACATATATGTGCATATATGATTATCAAAATAATCTTACCAAAATAATGACTACTTTTCTTCCATTCTTTTGAAAATCGTTAATGAAATTAGGTAAATTCTCAAAGTTATTTTCGTCTAAAGTAAAATCCTTTTTCTCTTCCATGTAATCAATGTCAAAAAACTGGACATCCTGGCAAAGAAAATGGATATAATTAAAAATAATCAAGATGATAAAAACTTATTTAATTAGTGCTGTTAATTTTTTAAACACAGAGAAATCCGATAAAATAATACTATACATTCAAGTTAAATTTCCGTGAGTCTACATAATTTTTTCCAGACATTTTACTCCACGGAATACGAAACTAATAAATGAATTATTAACAATCATTGTGGATATCGCAACGCTTGTTTGTTTGGGGCCAGGGAATACAAAACTAACATGCGAATTTTTAGCTATCAGTGTGCATTTAAAAACGCTTGCTTCTTTGATTCAAACAATTTGTATCAACGAATACGAAATTAAAATGTGAATTTTAAATTATCAGTGCGAATATCAAAACACTTGTTTGTTTGGTTCTAATTACTTGTTCCATGGAATACGAAACTAACTCGTGAATTTTAAATTATCAGTGTGAATATAAAAACACTTGTTTGTTTGGTTCTAATTACTTGTTCCATGGAATACGAAACTAACTCGTGAATTTTAAATTATCAGTGTGAATATAAAAACACTTGTTTGTTTGGTTCTAATTACTTGTTCCATGGAATACGAAACTAACTCGTGAATTTTAAATTATCAGTGTGAATATAAAAACTCTTGTTTATTTGTTAGTTGTGTCTAGTTCTGGGATCTAGTCCCGAATCTCAGTCCTCAAGCTTACCGCTGAATTAGTGGGAAACAACAAACAAATATAATTACGAATTCCAATACTTCTGTCAAGAAGTGTAATCATATTTGCATAATTAAAGTGTCGTCTTTGAAAAAATGTTATCGAACTACCCTATAATTATGTGATACATTATTCTCATCAAAAAAGGAACTAATTACAAAAAAGAACCTTGAATAATAACTGTAAACTATTTTCAGCCGCGGCATAACGGCTCATACAATGGCTCTGAGTTTTTCAAGTACAAACTTTTAACTCGTAGATCTATCCCTTGACCGATTTGAGATCTAATTACAGCCGCGGTTATTGAGGATTCCCGCTTGTTTATATATTTAAAAAAAACGAGACAAATATCGATGTGTTTAATAGGGTTGTTCTATTGCCCTAATTGCCAGAAAGTTAAATGTTTAACTTTGACTTTAAATGATACGAGTTAACGCGCGAAGACTGACCACTCAATCTTAAACATCTTTATAAAATAATCTCTTATAAAGTTAAAATAAAAAGTTTGTTTTATGCACCCCACAATGTTATTAGATTACCTTCTTAACTACATTAGCCTATAAAAACTTTTATGGACTACAACTGCCTGTTGAAAGAAAAGGACGCAACGTTTCGGCTTCTATACTGAGGCCTTTGTACCTGAAGAAGGTCTCAGTATAGAGGCTGAAATGTTATTTCTTTTAATAAGTAATTGCAGCCCATTAAAAATTTCAAACTCACTATGTCTACTCTGCCTGAAGTTCTACCGATATGACATATTCCCAGTTGAAACAATATCATATCACCCTAAAATATTGTTACGTCTCTGGTCGTTTGTTAATTTCCCGTAGAAATTCATTACGAGAAACTTCAGCGATACGAGTCCTTTCTTAATTAAAACTAGTTTATTCTTTCTCGATATAACTTTATAATACACAGAATTTCCACAGTCAATACGTTTGCAATCTCGATAACAAAACACACACTTTATATTATCGTCACTACCGCTCACTTGACTCAATTATCTGTCTCTATATCTCCCTATCTGTCATTATCTCCGCTTTATTTGCCGGGCTTATATACTAAAATAGAGGGCGCCTAGAAAAGACTAGAGTTGCCAGGAAAAGTCAAGATTCTTCGAGAATCTCATGACGTGTTAC